GCGGCCCACGGCCCGCGACGGCCCCGCGGCCCGGAGGCCCGGCGGCCCGGCGGCCCGGCGGCCCGGCGGCCCGGTGGCCCAGTCCTGTCCAGTCCTGATTTTCCAGTTTTTTTGTCCAGCGGTAAATCCACGCGCATGCACAGATCTGCATCGGGTTTGGGCGTGCAAAATGGACGATGGTGAGTTTGAATTCGTTTACCATTTTAATAATCATTTCAATCCTTTTCGATCCTTTCTTTCCTTGCATGTTGCTGAGTGAAAAACGTTGTCATTCTCTGTTTATTCGTCCGTTTACAGCATCCGATAGAGAGGAACTCCATTCTCAAAAGATGTAAGTTATTTTCAAACCACAGTTTGAGATTGAGAATTTCATAAGCTAAATAATGAGATATGTGAACTGCGAATTGTCACTGAGTTGCGTTTGTCAGTTTATCAGGTAATCACATTCTCACTTTGTAATCAAATGATCTTATGGTAATGTTGTGCAATGGCAGGCAACAGTTTTGAAAGGTTTTGTAAGGCGGTCGATTTGCTTTTGCATGCTTTCTTTGTGTAACTCTGAAATTTTAATAAGACTTTACCTAGCTTCTCGTATAATTTTTTCTCCGCAGGAATGTTCACGAAGATTCTCATGACAGCGTAAGTAGTTACGTTGTGTCGACTCATTCCCACTGGCAGAATTTGCGCTTTTTCTAAGAGAAACATTTCAGTCACATCTGATTTTTGCTTTTTTCTTTTGTTTTTTTTTTTTTAGGAAAATGGTGAGAATGCTTCAATCCTTCCACCGACGCTGTGGAACGATAGGTAAGCTTCTAGATTTGTCTATTTGTTTTTCCTTTTCACAATCTCTATGATGTTGCAAAAGTTACTTTTTAATGGAAATGTGTAATGAACTTTTGTCTCCAGCATCAATGGTCATTATTCTGAAAGTGAAGCTGTCAGGAAAGCACTTGCCTTGAGTATTGAAGAAAGCAGGCAAACGACAGTTTGTAGTGGTAAAACCTTTACTTCGATGTGCTTACATTACTTTTCATTACATTATTACATTATTACATTACATTACTTTTACATTACATTACTTCGATGTGCTTCGATGTGCTTACATTAATTTTCAATTTTTTTCTCATTTTTTTAAAAATAAACCTTCACATTTTTTTCTTACTCAAAACCCTTTTTAAATCTGCAGTCTTTTTCTCATTTCAGCAAAGAGCATGTCAACATTTCATGCTCCACTGATGTCTCTGTAAGTACTTAGTGCAAATTTTTAGTTTAGTTGAGTGTTAAACAACTGGTTTAATTTAATTCACTATTTTTTGATTGTGTTTTTTTTTAAATTGTCCTGGAACCCGCACTAAGGGTATTATTCGCTATCTTTCAGCTACCAGTGACCCCCAAAAAGTCCTGCAAAGATCGTTGTGAACCTCATGCAATAGTAGTAAGTGATGGAATGGTAAGGAAAATATACTTGATTTGGCACAAAAGCTTTGTTAATATTAAAATGGTTCCAACAATTAACAAGTGTTTTAAGGTGGCTAATTACGGTTTCCATTACTATCAGTCTTCATCAGTTGCTTACATTGGCTGATAAGTTGTGATCATTTTTGCAAGATAACAGGTTACCATAGCAACAGCATAACCTGTTAAAAGCATCCTTAATTTAAGATTAAAGTGTCAATAACTCAAAACTGAGTTCGGTGACCTCCATTTTTCATTATTGACTTATGACCAATATGTCATAGTACAACTTTTTGCGACATATAAAAAAATTCTGTCAGGTAGCTCTCCACCTCTGATAATTTCTTTCAACTTTTTTTAAAACATAGTATCATGACGTGTGGATCATAGCTCAATAATAAAAAATGGGGGTCACCGAACTCGTTCTTGATTTATTGGCACTAAAAGCTTATATTAAGGGTGTTTTTTAAAGGTTATGCTGTTGCTATGCTAACCTTTCTTCTCAAGAAAATGGTCATAACTTGTTGACCAAAGTTTACCTACAATTTCTGTATATTTCTCAGGGAGCCCATTACTTTCCTAGTCTTTTGGGACACCATTATGAACTGCAAGATGATGGTGGGAGGGCACATGGGTTACCTTTGATACACCCAACTGGGTTCGTTAAAAGAAGCAGATAGGCAAAAATATGATTGAAGCCAGTCAATTTTCTCATTCTTCCAATCTCAATGAATTCTTTAGACAGTTTCACTCATTCACAGGAAAGTGATGAAGTTGTTGTTGCATATTTACAGGATAGCGACAACTCTGTTGAAGAACTGAGTAAAACCTTTCAAGGACTAAGCTCTCCATCGAAGGAAGACCGATTGGTAGATTTGTCTGTGCCTCGCAGGTGAGTAAGTGTTAACAGCGCCCTTTGAGATTGTTTTATGACCTTGCAGTTATTATTGTGAACTTTCCCTTAACATATCAGTTACAGTATCTGTTACAGCTGATAAGGCTGAAAGATATGGTTATCGTGTAACTTGAATTTTTTATTTTGTTTAATTTTCTATTTTGTCTCCCACATGACAGAAAAAGACAGCTTTACAGAACGAGTCCTGAAAGTTCTGACACTTCAAGCAGCCCATCAGACAGCTCTCCAGAAAGGTGAAATATTTTTTTCAAAAAAAAACTACGCTAAGTAAAGTTTTCAGCTGATGTGATTTTATAAAGGTTCTGTCGGGTAGTTATCAAGCACTGGTAACCATTTCTATAATTCCAGAAACTGTTTCTAGTGAGACGTGAGGTGGGGTGGGGGCTGAGCGGCCGAATGGTGGCTTAGTCTGCCTTTCGCTCTATAATGTTGAGAGCATAAGAGAACTTCAGGATCTTGTAGGAAGCCTATTATAATTGATTTGTTTTCAAGGCTCACAAAATATGTTAGATCTGGCTATTTTCATGATTGGAGTATATTTGTCTTCTATATGTGCCCATATTAAATTTGACTTTTCTCTCTACAATGAACAGAACACCAATTACTTGCGACCTATTATCATGCCATCAACATGTGCCCGGAATATTTCATGGTAGGACGGATCCAATAACCAACGACGAAGTGCTAGAACTCATGGCTTCTCAGAACAGTCAGTATCTGTCTTCCAGCGTCCAAGTGAGGAGGGTTTCTTGCAACGTCAGCTTCCTGATCAGCACAAAGAACTTGAGCTCATCAGATGCAGCCGTAGACGCTATGGGTGCGTGGAAGTTAAGTAAATCGAAGCGCAAGAATTGCAGGGGTCAAAT